TATTTGATCGTTTCAAAATATGAAAGAAAGCTGGTTTAACTCTCAGCCTCCCTGTGTTCAGTGTCAGAATTGAGCTTATCTAAAATTCACCAACAACATAAGACCATTTGCCAGCATCAGCCCAGCTATTTTACTGAGGACAGCAGTTCCAGAACAGCCGCTCGCCTGCGTCAGCAGCCATTCTCAGGAACTTTCCATTTCCCTTTAGTAGTAACTTTGAGTCAATTCATTTTACTGAGAGGAAAAATGAAACTCAGATGTTATATTTCTTGTGTTATGGCAAAGTTGGTTTGCGGACGCAGTCACTTGTAGTTCAGAGCCCATGTTCTGCACCACTAATCTTGTCCATCTCAGATCGAGTTCTCTAATCTATTTCCAGATGACTCCCCATGTGCTTCAGTTGGAGGTGGGTTCTCTACCCAGGCCTGTCATTCTCAGGACTGTTTTGCAAGGTGAGTGTGGTAACCAAGTGTTAGGGACACTTAGCAGCTATTGTGTTTTAAACTGGGAATCAAATCCAAAGAACTATACATACTTGGTAAGAACTCTACCAATAAGCCACATGCCTGCCTTTTAGTAACATTTCTGGGAAATGCCAGGACTGCTATTCCATTGCAGGCTGGCAGAACTGGATTTTGTGTGTATGGCCTCACCTGATGTAGGCTCCTTCCTCAATTTCTACTCACTGGGGTTGTTGTTTCTCCACTGCCAACCCAACACCATGCATCACTTAGATTCTTCATAAATATTCAGAGAAACACTAAAACTCAATTCATCTTCATGATCTGATATGGAGCAAGTGGATCATACTGGAGCTAAGACATCTTTTTCTGAGATAAGTAACCCATGCTGGTCTCAAACTCACTACGTAATGCCAATGCCCTTTACCTCACTTTCCCAATGCTGGGATTACCTGAATGAGCTGCAACTAGTTAAGAATGGGGATTGGCCCAGGTCTTGAGCCTGTTACATAAGCACTCTAGCAAATGAGTTATATTCGCAGCCTAGGTGTTTTGTTTTATTACAAGTTATGTATAATGAAAGTTAAATGGGGGAATGGATTGATCCTTCTTAAGACACACATCTCTCTAAAACCCAAGTGCAGTAGATTTATTTACAGCGGAAGCTCATGTCTGCTCTTCTGGACATGGAAAACAAATGTAAAAGTTATATGGCCTAGAGAAAACCATCTGGTTTAAGCGTAATGGTATAGTTTACTGGAGCTCTTTTTAAAAAGCTGTTGGCTGAGACAGTCTCCTAATAAGTGGAGATTAATTATACTCTTTAAAAACCTCAGCCTAGGTGAAAGGATTTAGAAGTGAGGCAATGTGGTAAAACTAAGGATTATACTCATTTTCCTGGGATCAAATAAGCCATGGGTAAAACGTTGTAGGTATGTTCTTTCTCATCTTTTTGCAACCCAAGATGCAGCTAAACATAGTTATTTTTAAATAGTTTTGCTGTATTATTTCTATAATGGTAGGAACTGAAGTATGTTGTTGTGCTTTCCATTGAATGACTGAATCATAAAACTGAATTACAACTGTTCCTCTTAAGATCAAGGTTTGTAGACTATAGCTGGGTGAGGCCTCCTGCAGGCTTGGTTCAGTCAATGTAGAGTGGGGACCAGACTTTACAAAAAGTTCTTTCTAGTTGTGAAACATACACCAAGTGTCCCAGCCTGAAAGGGTGACTTCAGCTTTTTATAAATCCACTTACAAATGGCAGTTTATATGTCCTCTGAAGATCCTGGTATATTTCAACCTAATGCATACATCATATAGCTTTTACTAGAGAAACATCTTAAACCTTCTGCCTGTCACCCAAGTTTCTTTCAGGTTTAACAGCCTTTTAATTTCATTTTCTTTCTTTTCTGTAGTGTTGGGGTTGAATCCAGGGATTTATACACATAGGCACCTGCTTCACCCTTGCAACACACTCTTACCTCTTACAATATTATAGACCCACCCAACATTCTAGAACTCTTACTTCCTATTTTTTCCTTACCCGTTTCTCTGACATTTCTTGAAAATCTAAGAGATGGCCGTCATACTTTCTGCTTCCTGGTTACTTCCCTAGAACTAAACATTAAGTTGGCATGTCCCATTACTGAGAATTCTTACCAGCTTGCATCATCCAAAGGTCACTTTCCCCCAGCTAGTTTGTGCAGGTTGTAAGAGGGACAGAAATTGCCAAGCAACTTCTATACTGAGGTAATAATGGAAATTTTATTAGTCCTCATGTGTTGTTATCCAGATGATATAAGGGCTAGCAAATATTAGAAAGTTTATACTGGAATTAAAATAAATTTGAGTGGTGAGGGAAGGGCAATGATTAGAGAGGTTCTACTTTACTGAGTAACTTCCATTTTTAGACCAGGAAGCAATTTGTTCTGATTCTGCTTGCCCTAGAGAGGCAAGTTTCCTCCCAGGGTGGTGGAAAGACGCAGGAAGGGGAATAACCATGGCAACCTGCCCAGCTATGTGGGCCATGATAGTACTGGGGCCCTGTCCTGGCCTAGTCACTAGTTTAGGCAGGGTGGTCCCTCCCTTTCCCACTTCCTTGGCTAGAATGCTGACTTCAGGAGAAGGCCCATTCTTTCTCTGTAGGGAGTCTGGGAGGGTGTGGGGTAGATTTAAATGAGACCAGAGGTCATTCTGACCAAACCAAATAGCAGGCTTCCATGCTGAGAACAGAGAGTAACTGTCTGTTCTAGCGTGAACTCAAGCAAATGCACAGGCTACCTTAATATTGAGTACTTAAATGATTGACATTTTCCAGATAGGTGAAAGGCAGTCACTTTGGATTAAGAAATTCTCCATTTGCTTTCAGTGTTCACAAAGACACTCAATTCAGTTGTTCAGGGGGCAGAAACAAACAAACAGATAGAATATAGCATTTGAAAGATAGAGATTCATTTATCTCCCCAGTGTTCCTAAATACTATTGTTCTTCCTCAGATAAGACAACAGAACTACTGAGAGGTCATTCTGTGTGCTCAAGGTCATTTTACTAGCAGTAGTGTGGATAATTTCACCCACTACCCAACTGTGCTATGTTGGCAGGACAGACAGCAGCTAGCATACAAATGCATGAGCTGCTGGCCCTTTAAAATATCCAGCTGGCCTTTAATTCCAGCAGAGGCAGGTGGATCTTTGTGAGTTCGAGGCCAGTCTGGTCTACTGAGCGAGTTCTAGGACAGCCTCAAAGCAAAAAAGAAACTCTGTCTTGAGAATAAACAACAACAACAACAAATCACGAACCAACAAAAAATGTATCCATCATCATTTGTACCCTTAATCAGGACTTTGGGATTTTTCCCTAAGAGGAGACCTTATAGTTCACTTCTGACAGGATTAACCCACTAGGATATCTTACTATGATTTATAGTTCTCTTAAACACACTTATCTGATGTGAACACTCTGTCATCTAAATGAGACTTGGGCTAGCCTCTGCAATTCAGTAGCAGTGCTTCAACTTTATAAAACTTTATAAAAAACTACAACTCCAGGGAGAATGAAACAAAACAAAAAAACAAAACACCACATCCTGCTACTCAGGTGCTTCACATTGCCAATCTGATTCCCATTCTAATTCTGCCTGAGTATAGGAAACCTTATAGGTCAAGTCGGTTACATAACCCCCCAGGCCAGTCTCCTCGAAAGTCTTCCAGTTGGGGCAACTCATGCCCCTTGTGAACTCCTTTGGGCAGCCTTCTCACACATTCCAGCATCCTAGCTTTGTCTTTAAGAATAGGAATGATTAATCCCCCGTTGGAGAGAAGACGCAAAGAAGCATGGTGTTTCCAAGTTAACCTAATCAAAGTGGTCATGGGTTTAGGCTCAGACTAGGAGAGAAATGAGACAACAACTTCCTCATGGTCTCACCGGGGGCATTTTCTCACAATGCTTTCTGATGGCCGAAAGCCACCCAGCAAGCCCTGTGTTCCTGGTCTTTGAAGTTTTAGGTAGCAGGGATATGACTGAACAAACCAGATCAGCTGGTCAGCAGCTCCCAGAAGCCTTTACTCCATGACCATGCAAATAAGTATCTTAAAAGCAACACCCTTCACCCCCAACAAGCCCACTAAAGCCCATCTAACCTGCGGCGGAAGACAAGAAGCAGGTCCATTGAACAGGAATTTAGACTTTTAGTTTAACCCCTAAAATTATACCAAGTCTTTTGCAGAAATGCAAACTCCGAGCTAGGTGTGGTGGTGCTTGCCTATAATTCCAGGACTCAGAAGACTAGAAGTTTAGTGTCAGTCTGGGAAGAGAAATGCATCGAGACTGTCTCAAAACACCAAAAGATAAAAGAAAAGAAGAAATAATGAACAAACAAACGAACCTCTGGATTCTGTTCTTTCTTCATAAATCAGTAAGGCGTAAAACAATGTTGTGGTTACCCTCCCAGCCTCCTTTAAATCCTCAGGTGGAGATAAACTGTGGTATCAGCACCACCAGCCCCATAAACATATCTATACTAAAAGACATTCCTCCCATTCCTCCACAATCTGTCTCTTCTGGCCATAGTTAAAATGCATAACTTAGCCAGGTGTGGTAGCCTCTACCTACAATCCTAGCACTCATGGGACAGAGGCAGGAGGATGATGAGTTTAAGTCTAGACTGAGGGGCAAAGCAAAACCATTTTAGTGCTTAGGAAAGTAGCTCAGTGGCTGGCCAGGCATGTCCAAGATCCTGGGCTTCTCCTCTAGGACTCCAGGGGAACGAGGGAACATGCTAGACTAGGAACAAACAGTTTCTAGGGTAAAGATTAGACAAAAGGCAGGAGCTGGCAGTAGGGAGAGAAAGCATTTGCTATTAGTCAAAAGCAGAAGAATCAGTAAGATTTAGGACAAAGTGACTAAGGACATGGGAGAATGGTCGTATCTGAAATACATGTCCCAAGAGACCCCCCCCCCCACACACACACCTCCTTTCTCAAAGGGACTAGCTTATCGATTCCAAGCTGTTTTCCTCAGGAAAGCTGGAATTCCCAACGCTCCTGATTTCTCAAGCCTGTAAACTCCTTCCAGCATTGGCGTGCCCTGCCTCAGGCCAAGGGAGTGGAGTGGTGAATGCCTGTGTGTGTGAGGTGCCTGGCTAGAGTAAGGCAGCCTAATCCAGGACAGGAGAGCACCATGACAGCATCAAGTCCCGGATCCTGGCTAATCCTTCCTTTCTGAACAGTCACCGCTTCCATGTGCAGAGCCCAGGCCTCAAGACTGTAAGGAAGATGGACTATACATCTCATCAGAACCATTCCAGTAGCCTCATCAGGTATCTCCAAGACATTTGGGCAAATTTTCTGACACTACTCAGGTTGGGAGTTGAATCATCCTCGGTCCCCCTCCACTCTCCTGCTTTGCCTTTTGAGGGCCAGAACTATTTTCATCAAGTCACTTTATAGAGCAACGGCAACATTTACTATTCATGAAGTTGCCCCCTCCATAATTTTTAAATCTTTCCATGTGTCTGAAGGCTCGCTCCTGCTCTTCTCGGTTTACAGAGTGGCTCCCTTCCTTCCAAACACAGGCTAAGAAGAAAGAGGAAAGGGTGGGGGGGGGCTGGGGGGGAGATAAGATCCAGCTTCTTTAAGTGTTTCGAATCCAGTTAAATTTTCCTTTGGATTCAAGCAGCTCCCATCTGAAACCCACTACAGAGCTGAATTCCAGGCTCCGGATTAAGTGAAGAAGGAGAGCTAGCGGGAAGAAATAACAGACTCAGCTCTATGCTGCAAAGAAAACCCGCTATGTTGACTGGGGCTCGGAGCTTTTAACACATTTTTTACTCCCTTTTCTCGAATTCTTACTTAATCCTTGCAGCTAGTTTACAACCGTCAAGAAAACAGCGTTTAAACGCTTTAGGGATTTAAGACAAGTTTGTAAAGTCGCTTGGGCAGATAGTTTCCTAGGAATGCTGGTGTAAGACAAAGTTCACATTTTTAATGCCCTATGCTGTCAGTCAGCAGAAAATAGCTCCTTAGAGGCACAAACCACGTCCAGCCTTTGTCAAACGGCAAAACCGAACACCCTTCAGCAGTTAATTAGGTGGTCAGTGGCCACACTGTTCTCCCTGGGATGTCCCCATAGCCCTTAAGCACTCCGCGCATGTACACACGCACACACACACACACACACACACACACACACACACACACACACACACACACACACAGGGACTCTTTAAATGTCACAGGATCGGCGTCTGGAGTCGGACCCCAAAGGTAAAATGCATTCCTTGGAAGCATTCCACAGATGTCAGGCCACAAAACCGCTGCTTTGCCTGGAGTACACTATCTTATTTGTGAGAATACCCACCGCCCAAAGTCTGCAGCCAAGACAGGAGTGGGAGAGAGAAGCCAGCAAAAGAGAGAAGGAGGTCGGAAAAAAAAAATGGAGCCAAAGGGAAGGAGGATGGCAGAACTACTCACGGGCTAGTTAGTGCCTCTGCGGAGCCAGCATGACTTCCCTGTGCCCGGAGCCTCTAGGCTGCAGCGCGGAAGACGCGGTGGCCCCGCTTAAATAGCCGCCGGCCGGGAGCCTCGGTGCGGCGCGGCCACTCCCGGGGAGAGAGATATGGTTCTAATCAGATGCTGGCAGCTGAGGACTCCCCAGGAATGTGGCGGGATGTTTTTGCTGCCTGGGCTTGGTAACTCCCCCTCAACGTGCTACGGAGTCTCCCAAACTTAACTGTTTATTAACTCGCGCTACAGTCAAGGAGCCGAGAGTCTCCTGCGCTCTGTGTGCCCGACCAGCTGGGGGCGATCACAGAGACTCAGAGAAAGGACTGTGCACAGCCAGGGCCGGCGGCCCCACACTAATGGGGGCCAGGAAGGGTGCAAGTAAGGACAGGAAAGGGAAACTCGGAAAGGGGTGGGATCCAATAACTTGCGTTTCACAGATCCTTTCCCTGGGTTCAAGTGTTCAAGTGGCGTGGCAAGGGAACTCATCCTAAACCGCCAGAGGCCCTTTGAACAAAGAGATGTCTTAACTCTCAGCATTCCCTACATGGGATGGTGGGTCCCAGGTCCTATCTGACCTAGCCAAAGCAGATCATGTGACTGGACTGTCAGTTTAAAGAAATCAGTGTCCGTTAATTGCAAATGTGGACATGCTTAAATAGCAGGGAAACTTATGTGTGTCCACGTAATGAGATGGGCTTGTGTTGAAGTTTAATACCACGCATATACAGATGCGAGGCCATGTTCTCTCTGTGAAATCGGCCTAAACGAAACCCTTTAGCGCCCTTCTAAGTCATCTAATGATCTACATTAATGGTATAAAGAAGTTATATTCTGATTTTCCTTTTAGTGGATATCCACCCACATGCAGATATGATTTTGACTTCTAGTTCCTACAGCATTTTTTTAAATCCCTGCATGAAAACCTTGAGATATGGAAAGATATATTCAAAAATGTTGCTTTCAATGCTCAATTGTAGATGCCTGGCAGAGTGGACCCCGAGAATTATACAGACGCTTGGTATTTCTGCATGTTTTAAAGCCAGAAACGGTTGTCACATATCCAAATGGTGATGCTTTTTAAGGACATAGGGAATCATGCTTTGGGAAGGGCCCCTCCTTCTTCTTCTTCCTCCTCCACTCTGCTTTGCTTTCTTATTTCATTTAATCCTTTTTTCTTATACCTCCTTCTCTTGTCTGGTTTCCTCCTGCTCCTCCTCTCCCCCCTCCCTCTCCAACCTGTTCTCCCGTTTGTTGGAAGCAGAATGTACCGACGATGAAAAATGACAAATTGTCAGTTGGATGGAATGGGTTGTTGATTTTATTGAATAAGCAACACGATGGATTTGCATCTTGCCACTGAAAACCAAGGGTTCAAATGGAGCTTATGGAGCACCAAGGATGCATTTTGTGGTCCACGCCTAGCCCCAGCTGCAAAGTCACTGTGTAATTTGAGGTGGTTCAATGTGAGTGGCAGTTTCTGCTTGCAAGTAGGTCAGGCCCATGTTCAGGGAGAGCAAGGGACACAGAACAGCACAGCTGGCCAGTATGCTGTCCCTCCCGACCTCTGCACTCCCTCCACACCTGGGTGAGCACAGAAGAAGGGTGGTGATGATAACTTTCAATATTCCTCTGAGGTAATTTTCTGTGATAACTAAAAAAAAAAATGCCGGGCGATGGTGGCACACGCCTTTAATCCTAGCATTTGGGAGGAAGAAGCAGACAGATCTCTGTGAGCTCAAGGCCAGCCTGGTCTACAGAATGAGTTCCTGGATGGTCTCCAAATCTACAGTGAAACCCTGACTTGAATCCCCCCCCCAAAAAAGAAAATATATTCTGTGAATGACAAGGCATCTACCTTTTAGTTCTGTGAGGATGGTACACTTAGGTGAGGACTTTAATTCAGCTACCTCTGAGGACATCACATCACACTTTGTGTCTAAAATCCAGAAATCTATAGAAATGATTTCGTTTCAAAGGACTCAGAAATGAGAAAGAAAATAAAAAGGCAGTCTATTCAAGAAAATGAGGGCTTTGATAATAAGAAACAGGTCTTCAAAAAACACCTATTATTCCTCAGCTTGGAAGGGCCCACCCAAGCCTATATCTTTATCAATATAGCTCAAAGACTGTTTCTAAGATGTGTTAAGTTGTTCCTACTAAAGGAAACAACTTTTGCTTTAGAAGTCAGAGAAAGAAAGTTCATCTTCTGTGAAAATCGGTGTAATGAGAAAATCTGGACCCAAACAGCTCATTTGTGAGCAGTAGACTCAAAGTTGCAGCTCAAAACGGACACCTTGCTTTATACAGAAATCTAAAGAGCCAGCAGTGGAGAGCTCTGGTTTGAAGTGTATTTTTATATCTCTAGGGTGCTGATATTGGTCTTGGCAATAACTCAATGTCCTGCTCACATTATGTGTGTGTGGAGGGGGAAGAAATGAAAATAAATTTAACTCTTTTTATCCCAGGAGGTGCTGTTTCCTGTCACATCTGCTTTGTGAACTTTTCAGTAAGTCTAAAATGAACATCTCCGCATAAGGAAAAGCACGTCAAAGCCCACCCAGATGTTCAGCTGTGGCAAGCGTGAGTTTTTTTTTTTTAATCACCACCACAATTTGTTCAGAAAATTTAAGGTAGGAAAACAATTAAATGCAATGTTTTTAAAAAAAAACCACGGTCCCCACATAACGATTGTCGTTTGCACAAAACCTGCTTGTGGTGGGGTGCGGTGGAATCTGGACTGTGCTCCCAGTCTAGAAAGGGGTAGTTAATCCCGTGACATCTTGCTGAAGAATGCATGGTTTATTATTAAAGTAATCTCTTAAGATTTTCCTGGAATGTGCTCCCACAGCAGCTCTGCCTATGCTGGCTATCCTATGTATGTCTTCTCATCCATGATTAAACTGTCCATGCTCAGCTCAAAAGTCTAGCCCCTTCTCCCCTCCACCTCACTCCCGCCCCTTCCTCTGCTGCTCGGGCCTTTCTTAAACTGCCCATTTTGAGTCTTGCTATTTTCTGTGAACTCTAAATGGTACTTTGGAATTGATCTCAAGGAAATTGTCCACTTTGATGCTGATTGAACATGTAGACATGTTCAAGCCAAACAAACCAAGCTTGGCAAGATTGGATACATCTGTAGTCTTTCCTACTCTGGAGGCTGAGGCAGGAGGATAATTAAGTCCAAGAGGGAAACAATACTGATCAAGAATTAATTGAGATGTATCTGGTAAGAGGCCTCCACCCTTTTAATAAAGGCTGTTAAATGAGGAAGAGAAAGAAAGTGGGTGGGGTGAGGGGGTGGTGGCTGTTGCTTCCATAAAATGTCCCCTGCCCCTGACTGATCTTATATACCTAACAGTGCAGAAAAACAGAATCCATCATATTTAGCTGGTGACAGGGATAGCCAAGTACCAGGAGTTTGTCTTTGCTCATCTATCCATTCATCTCTGCTCTCTCTCTCTCTCTCTCTCTCTCTCTCTCTCTCTCTCTCTCTCTCTCTCTCTCCTTTATCTTCCTCCCACCCTCTCCCTCTCTCAGATAATATTTTCTGAAATTTGGAAGGTGGGTTATTTTTGCTTGGTTTTGCTTTGGTCTGGCTAATTTGTTTTCTTCCTTCCATCCCTTACAATGTCACAGAATTCCATCTTTTTCATGTGACATGTAGTAATAGTGAGAGTCTGATGTCAGACACCAAAATATTTAGGGAAATTGGAACAGCATTTAAAATTTAATACTGGGCCATCAAGATAGTGCTGTTGGCAAAGCTGGACAACTGGAGTTCCATTCCCAGAACTCAACACGATAAGAGAGAACTGACTCCTAAATGTCACCTTCCATACACATGTGCAAGAACACACACATACACACACACATATAAATAAAATTCAATATATTATTCATTTCTATAGCCAGTCACACTTTGCTACCTATGCACTTGTATATAATGAAAAGTAATGAAGGGGGGCAGTATGTCAACACGAATTATTACTCAAATAAGTATTATCTTATTTAGCAAGCTAATATGAGTTATCAGAAATAAAAACATAGTTAACATTGCAAAACAAATAATAAAATGCATAGAATCCTGCAAGAATATGGATAGCATCTACTCACACAGTCCTTTATCTTAGGGCGAAGAATCAGTGCACTAGACATAAAACAAATGCAATATACAAGGATGATAATTTCTTTGTTGTTTATAGGAGTAGGGAGCTGAGAACAAAGTGTATCCATCAGCAATAAGGTATTAAGCTATGATTGTGTAATCATACACAACGATTTAAAAGAGCAAACTGAAGCTCACTTTTATAGTTTAGAACCTTTTATATAAGGTTTTGTTGAGTGAAAAAAAGCAGAAACCGGAAAGAAGTTTCAAAAATTCCTATTTTAGTAATACCAATTGCAACATCTATACGTGCATGTCAAGTGTAGTTTGTGTTCATGTGTGTTGACGATTATAAGGGACTGGACACTAACTAGGCTGATACACACACACACACACACACACACACACGGACACGGACACACACATATGCTCTAGTAGAAGTAGTCGAGGGGAAAGGATGGGGTGAGAACCAGGTACAAAAGACAAAGAAATGAAAATTGTCTACAGACAGAGATGCATTTGTACATCAAAGTGAATTGTAGATGTGCAGGTTTGTGCAATCCAAAACACATGTGATATGAACTTTAAGATGAGAGAAAGAAGAGCTTCAGGAGCAATTCCCCTAAAATGTTTCTTATGAAGGTGCAGTCCTATGTCTTTCAAAAGGGAATATTAGGGATTGAGAGGTAGCTCAGTGGATAAGAATGTCTGGTATGTAAGCATAAGGACTTAAGTTCGAATCTCTGATACCCACACACAAAAGAACCAGGCTTGCATAGCTGTGAGTGCCTGTAACTCAAGCATTGGGGGCTGGGGAACAGAGACAGACAGCTACCAAGGGCTCTGTGGCCAGTAAGTCTAGCTGAACCAGAGTTTACAGTTCTGTGTTTGCCCATGAGCCCACACACTCTCAGACACACATGTACCCATCCCACACACATGCTAAGCAGTCTCAGGGATCCCAGGTCTGCGAAGTACCTGGAATCTATGTGCTCATTAGCACTTTGGTGTGGTTTTGCTGGTACTGTGGACTTGGGGGCAACACATTGAGAAACGCTGAATTTTTCCCCATGAGGTCAAGAGGAAATTGATTTTGTTGTTCTCTGTGAGATGAAAACGATGTCAACCACAGAGAGTGATTACCGCACGGTTGAAGCCCATAGTTGAGAGGCAGGTTTCCTTTTCTCTTTGGCTCTCTGAGGCCTCAGGTAGGTTCCTGGCTCAGGTAATGAGCCTCCCTGCCCCCTCACCTGTCTGTGATTTTTTTTTTTAAAAAGGAGCTGACTGTAACCATTTGTGTTGACATAAACCCAAGGTTTATGTTTTTAGCCCTGGCCCTTGCGGTGGAATAGCAGACACAGCTCAAAGTTCAGGACTCCCAGCCATCTCTGTAAGACCTGGGAGGAGTTGCTTCTAGGCTTGAGGAGATGGAGGCAATTGCCAACTCCATCTTGTTTCCAGAGCTACTCAGAAAACAGGCCAACTAACAGACTTCTAGCTCGTGGGCAGTTCTGCTTTCTCTGAAACTGTACCTAGACCTCAAAGCACCCAATGGCTGCTTGGCAATGGAAATGGCATCAAATGCACAAGGGTCCCATGTTCTAACAAGGGAGGCCAGGATTTGGGATCAGGTCTGGGGCAAAGTCCTAGTTTCACACTCACTTACTGAAAGGATGGCAAGCCTACTTTTCAAGAACTCAGTTGTAAAATATTTTTCCCCTCGCTCCTGATCAATTTTGGCTTTTGGTGAGAATCTAGTAAATCCGTATTCATGAAAGGATTCCGGAATGGAAAATATGTGAAGGCCACATTTTTACTTGAAAAAAAAAAGTGTTCTTTTTCAGAAAGTATTTGCCAGGCAGTGGTGGCGCAAACCTTTAATCCTAGCACTCGGGAGGCAGAGGCAGGCGGATCTCTGTGAGTTCCAGGGTTATACAAAAGCCTCAAAAAAATTAGAAAAAGAAAAAAAGAAACCATTCCCACTACTAATACCACCTGAGACCACACACCCAATCGCATCGCTATGAAACTATGTGTTTATGGAATTATGAACCGACTGTAGTGAAGTTCTGTAATGCTGACCTCCTGAAACGGGTGATCCTAAACCCCAGACGGGGATTACTTCAACAGATAAGTAATCTGGGGGTGGGGGTGGGGTCTAAATGTTGCTGAATTGGCGTATTACAAGAAAGGGCAGTTGGAAAGTGAGCAGATAAACACTGAAGGCCAGCTTCATTTTCTTCTATTGCTAGTGTGAAGAAGGGCCAGATTGTCTACAGTCATTTCGGTTTAATTCAAAACAACCTCACTGTGACCCCAGAAAGATGCATGTGATACGTTAAGCATCCTGGACTACCTTAGTCACCTCAGTTCTGAGCTACAACAGCCACTTTTGAAGGTAAAACCAATGCCACATGACATACTAATTCAAAGACTCAGGAGACACTTTTTTTTTAATTTGAGAAAGGGTTTCTCTATGCTACCAGAATGGGTTCAAACTCCTGGACTCAAGTGATCATCTGCCTTCCTGCCTTGGGACTGGGACGGTAGGTGCATGCTATTTATTAATTCTAGTGAAAAGTGCCCCTGCCTTTTAGTCTCAACTATATATTCCTAGCTAGCTGGTTGGGAACTCATTATATGAAGGAGATCAGTGTTAAACCTATGGCAGTCTTTCTGCTGCTGTCTCTGACGTGCTGGAATCACAGGTGTGGGAGCCCATATTCAACTAAAAGTCATGTCATAATTGGAGACTGCAAATAGGCCACTTTTTGTACTCAAGGGTAATTTAGGTTCCCCCTATGTTTAGAAACATAGGTGTGTGTGTGTGTGTGTGTGTGTGTGTGTGTGTGTGTGTGGTGTGTAGATACCCACATTTCCTAGGAAAAGTATATTGCAGCTTTTACTAGATCTTCAAAGGACCTCATACCATAAAATAAAGTTAAACTCCGCAGTACTGTAGGTTTATGGCCATTCCACATTCTTTCTGCCCATTTTTAACTGAAGATTTTATCTGGATCTTTTGTTCCCATCTGATATGTATCCTCATAACAACATGGTCAAACAGGTTAGTCAAATGTTCTTGTTTCTAAGTGCAGACACCTTGATTTATGTCCTTTCACAGAGTTGAGGACAGAGCAAGACTATGACCCAAGTCCTTGAATAATGTAGAATTATTCTGCTCTCACTCCCATGTATAATTCCAGTGGCTAGTAGAAGACTTTAGAGTTCACAGAATCCCTTGTTTGTGTGTCCAAACCCAGAAAAGAATTTTCTTTCTCAAGAAAGACATTGCCAGATTGAAGGGTGTCACAGCAGAGGCACTGGAACAGCAAGAGGACACCCATGGCCATAAGAACGCCAAGACCTCTCTCAGTGTAGCCTTACCATAATGGGCCTGGGGAGCCAGTGCAAGCTTGGCCTCAGGCCTGTGCAGTGGGTTAGGAAAGAGAGTGTGTAAACCTTTCTGTATATGAATGAGTAGGTCACATGCCTCTTCTTGTCCAGAGGCAGAGAACATGAACTGAGTTGACTAATGTGTCCCTAAAAATAATGTCTTCTTAGAGCCTCAAATGTCCCTTCTTTGGAAGTGGGATCTTTGCAGGTGTGATCAATGACAAGGACATCATACTCTGACCATGAAGTCCCTCATTTGTTGTGTGTTGCTCTTTGATTAGAATACATTGCTGTTTTATTAGATGTTATTTTGTTTTTTTGGTTTTTTGGTTTTTACGAGACAGGGTTTCTCTGTATTGTTTTTGAGGCTGTCGGTCCAGCCTGGCCTCGAACTCACAGAGATCCACCTGCCTCTGCCTCCCAAGTGCTGGGATTAAAGGCGTGAGCCACCACCGCCCGGCTTAGATGTTATTTTGTATTTAGTATAACTCTAGATATAGAATGCTACAAATTCCAGCTCTATGGCTTAGCTTCCTCCCAGAGTACTATCAGATTAAATAAGCTAAGACGTTGAAAGGGCTAACAGTAGTTTTAGAAAACACCTAGTGCTATCCTGGTTATAACACAAAATTTTGCAAATATTTAAAATTTTTAAAAGCATCAAGTACATTTGAAATTAATCTTACCCCAAAACTCAGAAAATTCATTTCTCAAACATCCTTGGAAGAATTCCCTCTAGTTTTCCTAGAGCTACGCTTAAGAATTCTCCCAAAGCATGACGGCACATTCCTGTAATTCCTGTACCAGGGAGGTGGAGGCAGGAGGATCGTGAATTTAAGGCCAGCCTTACCCATATGGCAAGGTCAAGGCCAGTCTGCTTTACATGATACTCTGTCTCACTAAACTAGGGGAGAAATAGCAAAAAGAAAGAACAGGCTAAGTGTGGTAACAGAAATAGAAACAAATTGTGGTGCTGTGGAGCACTGCCCATTGGAGACACCCTGGAAGTAGCAGCTATGGTACAGATGGATCCATTTGTACTGTAGACAGATTGAGCAACAGAGGGAGACATAAGGTACGAAGGCATTTGCATGTGGTTTAAAAATACATAAAAGCATTAACAGCATTTTACATATTCATACACTGGCACATAGAATTGAGTTGATCAATAAAAACCTGAAAGAGTTTAGGTAGAAGAGGAAGTGAAGGCAGGTAGAATGTGGAGGAGAAAGAGAGAGGGGAGAGAGAGAGAGAGAGAGAGAGAGAGAGAGAGAGAGAGAGAGAGAGAGAGAGAGAGAGAGAGAGAGAGAGAGAGAGAGAACACCACATCGGTCAATCTGAAAATCTGATTTTAGTAGGTTTAGAATATAGACCAGCTGTATTGTATTTTTTCGTGTGTGTGTGTGTGTGTGTGTGTGTGTGTGTGTGTGCTCACTCACTCATTCAAGCATGTGTGTGCTAGAGAGTGAACCTAAAGTCTCAGTCTCAGCATCAAACATGTAATCTACCGCTGAGCTACATCCTTACCACCCAGCTCTGCTACAGTCTATAGTTGGCACATAGACAAGCCCCACTGATAACTTGTACTGTATGCTTTTTAAAAGATCATTTCTGTTAGAAGGTAGGAATTGCACAGTCACTTGGGAAAATAATATGAAATATATATTCAGTCAACTCCAGATTATCTGCCAGTTTAGAGAAAGCATACAGATAAAAGAGCAAATTAAATGAACTCACTCCAGCATAGTCTACAGAACAAATGATCTGCTTCTCCAACCGCTCAAGGGCATCAACCAAAGAAAGTGGAGAAGAGGCAAAAATCTACTATTTTAGTTGGGTGGTGGTAGTGCACACCTTTAATCCCATCACCCAGGAGGCAGAAGCAGGTGGATCTCTGTGAGTTTGAGACCAGCCTGGTCTACAAGAGCTAGTTCCAGGACAGCCTCCAAAGCCACAGAGAAACCTTGTCTCAAAAAACCAAAAAAAAAAATTGTTTCTTGTAGTTCTAACCCATTGCTAAAAGGTATTTTTGAGGAGAGATTGAAATATAAGTGGATATTAAGGATTATTATTAATTAATCATATTTACTTATTAGAGACATACTGGATTTGTGGGTAAAATGTGATTTATCGAATTTTACCCCTATACTGGGACTGAATCCAGGGCTTTATGTTTGCTAGACAATAGTGCACCATTGAGTTAAATTCCTAAACCCTAAGCCCTTGAATTTTCTTCAAAATAACTTAGCCCACCCCCAAATCTAAAGGAAATAGAAGAAAAAGAAAACAATAGGAAAGCAAACAAAAACACAGCCAAGACTGGTAAAGCAGAATGATGGGTATCTGTGTATTGGATTCAACATATAATTCCATTTTTGTTTATAATTGAAGTGTTCTGTAATAGGAAGTCAGGATCATGCTCTCCCTATTTCCATGGAGTTCATTCATTCATTCTTTCATTTGCTCCCTGTTGTTTTCCATCTGCTAGATACTGATGGGTATCAGCTGGATGCTAGAGATACTTTTGTAGTGCCATTCTCTAGACTTTCTCAGATTGAAAAGTTTATACTTTTGCCCCATGACGGAGAGGGTGTTTGGTTTTCTTTCCAGGTGCTCTTTCACAGGTGAAGTTTGAATGTGTGTCAAGGAGCACCTCCTGGGGTCAAGGATGAATAAGGTGATATTAATCATTCAACATCAGGTCTTATCAGAGCTTGCAGGTTAAGCCCCTTGGGCGCCCCTGTGCTCCCAAAGAGCTTGTTTCCTTGGGTTACTGATTTCAGTTTGAAGTCAGGTGATTTGCGAAATGACCCAGGCTTTCCTGTTCGGTTCACACCACAGGGAGCGAGGAGAACAAATAGGTCCAAAGTCTGTCGGTTCCTGGGCCTTAGGAAGAGACCGGTGTCGGTGTCACGTGCTTGTCTGATCAGGTGTTCAGGAGTCTGTTTTTCACTTCTCTGGCTTCAGGAAGCTAGGATACCGCTGCAGAAAGCAAGTTACAAGAAGATTGGCTTTCAAAGGCATCCTTGGAAGTCAGGATTCTACATTTTGACAGTGCGGACATTTGGGGGAAATGGGGCTTCTCTTTATTCTCTTGTGTAAATGTGTGAAGCACCTGTATGGCCGTGCAGGAAAGGGAAGCAGCACTTGGCGACAATTTGATCATAATAAAGAGGACACTGATTTTGAATTACTCAATTGCAACTTTGATCCTGTATCTGTCTTGCGAATTTGATCATCGTGTCTCTATACAGCAGGTGACAACATGGGATCTCAGAAGTTAGAGAACTTTTTTGTAAAGCAGTATATGTACACAGCTAGTGAAATAGCCAACACTGAGATATCACTTGTGACCCTTGTTTTCCTACCTGTAATCTTTCTAGCTTGGAAGATGCGATCTGCAAAACATTTCATAAGGGAAGAAGCTGTGCTTGGTAGCATTCACCTGCAATTCTAGATGAGAAGATGAGGCCAAGGGATTGGGAGATTGAGGCCAGCCTGAGCTATGTGTTGAATTCCTGGCTACTGTGCACTTCAATAGATACCCCTGTCACAAACAAACACCCAAGCATCCGGGCAATCCAATATTTAAGAACATTTTTTGAGATTGTAATGTTTCCTGCTTCTCTTTTCTCCAAATCCATGCATTAACCACCACACACAATCTACTCAGTCCATGCAATGTTGCTGTGTGTCTGTGTTTCCAGATATTAGACAACCAATTGGGGAAGACTATTTCACAGCTCTCAAAATTTCTCAGTTGCCTCTAATTCTCTGTCTATGGTTGCAGCTATCTGAGCATTTTCTATTGGTGTTGTGCCTGTTGAGGTCATGGTTAGGCAGCCATGTAGGCGAGACTTTATGGCTGTAGTTTTTGACATTCTTAGGAGACACACAGTTGTATAGAAAACTTCCTATTTATTTGGCTCTCACAATCTTTCCACACCAGAGTCCCATCTGACCAAAGTTTAGAGCGGTGGAAATCAGTCCAAACAAATACATCATAACACAACACCCAAGGCTCAGACATCATCGAAGAAGAGGGAATGGGAAGACTGCAAGATCCAGTATTTTGTTTTTGTTTTGATTTTGATTTTTCCAGAAAGGTTTCTCTGTGTAACAGCCCTAGTTGTCCAGGAACTCGATTTGTAGACCAGGCTGGCCTTGAACTCACAGAGATCTGCCTACCTCTGCCTCCCGAGTACTGGAATTGAAGACAAATGCTCCATCATGCCCGGCCAATAATCCAGTTTCTAAAAAGGTTGTAAATGTTACCTGTTCTAGTTTCCAAATTATCTGAAATGTGTTCATTTACTACGGTGTTTGAGATCTACCTATGTGTTTTTCTCTGAATGTATAATCTCTAAGTATTTCTAAGGTTTTATAATAAAAAAGTCATAATGTACAGTATACAAAACATATTTGCCTAAGATATTTTAAGTTGGTCAGCAAACTATTTTGGTGTCCTTTGCAACACATAGCATGGCTTAGTTCCTCTTGTCCCTGGAACTTTCTCTTCTTAAGCAAAGTGATTGCTTGGGATCTAAAGGTGGCCCTTCTGACTTAGCTGCAATGTCTGGCTTGCAGCTAACTAAATATGAAAATCTCACAGTAGTGTTAGGCCAGCACTCTTGTGGCCTGTGTAAAAGACCTGTCCCAAAGGGAGTCGGAGGGGACCTCAGTGTTTCATGGCCATCTGGCTCTTCTTAGCTGAGGAATGCCCAGCAGTCATAGCACGACTGAGAGGAACACAGAAAGAGACACAACCCTTCATTCCAGCCAAGAGAACAATGTGAGGGAATGGAAGTAAGGCTGCTTGTAAAAAAGTAAACCCGCATATAAATCAAGTGGAAAACTTGCCCCTTGGATCACAAATCCCATGCTGACATACTCTTTTTGCAAAATTTGTGCAAATTCGTTTTTATTGAAGAGTCTCCACGCTGCACAGCGATGTAAATCTAAACTCAGAAAAAAATGAGTTGTGTATCAAGAAAAAAATATGTTAGCTAAGGAAGGAAACACTCATTACTTAACTGGATGGATATTTTGAAAATACAATCTAAGATGCTCAGAAGAGGACAAATACTAATGAGGAAGTAAAATCATAGTTTCATTCATTCATAGCAAGGGAGGGTGAAAGTTTGATTTTCCTCATTTTGGAAAAATTATTTCTGTTTCCTGAAGAGGCCACACTGGACTTGGTTGTAGTTAATCTGTTGTCTAATACTGGCACATTCACACAGCCTGTCCTGTGACAAATCTTGAATCTCAAATCTTTAATGTAATGTCAAATAAGCATTCGCTGATTTGCAAAACACCTGTTTTATATAACAAAAGAAAAGGAGTAAAAGCACTCAGGTTGAGGGGATTGTATAAAACAATTCTGTTTCCTGTGGTGAGATGGTTGGGCAGGTAAAGGATTTGCTGTGTGAACGTGAGGACCTGAGTTTGGATGCCCAGATCCTCTGTAAATGCTGGGTGGACACTCTGACTCACGTGTTATTCAGGCATATAGGAAGTAGAGACAGCATTCCCAGAACCAAATGAATAGTCAAAGGAGCTAAAGTGAACTACGGGCTCAGAAAGAGACCTTGCCTCAACAAATAGATGGACAATGATAGAAAAAGACACCCAACTTCAAGCTCTGGCTTCCACACTCACACACATGCAGTTGCACACATATTACACAAGCAAGCACACATACACATAGGTGCACACACTACACACACACACACACACACACACACACACACACACACACACACCCACACACCAGAACTTCTGTTTTGAAACAGCTGATGTTGTTGTACCTTTTCTGTTGTACAAATGAGAATTAGGCATCTCGGTGTTCTGTTTTCAGTTGATTCATAAAAGGTGATAGGGATTGAACCTAGAACCTCATGCGTGCTAGGTGAATGCTTTACCACTGAGCCACACCTCCAGTCTCTGAGTTAAAGGTCATACATTTTATATTACTTTGTATAGTTCATGATCTTTTTTGTTTGGTTTTGTTTTTTTAGGCACAGGATCTTACTATGCAGCTGTGGCTGTCTTGGAACCCACTATGTGGACCAGGCTGGCCTTGACTTCACAGAGATCCTCCTGCCTCTGCCTTCTGAGGACCGGCATTAAGGCATGTGTTGATGTGCCCAGCACAGTTCATTATTTTTAACTGTACTCATATTGGGAATGAAGGAGTGCTACTTAGTTCTGGGATTAAAAGCACGAGCCAATCCCCCTGTTATGTTTATTTGTTTTTATTTATTTACTTATTTATTTTTGTTTTTTCAAGACAAGGTTTCTCTGTGTAACAGTCCTGGCTGTCCTGGTACTCACTCTGTAGACCAGGCTGGCCTCTTTTAGTTTCTTTTTTTAAGGAACACTGGATAGACATGCTTATTTTTCTAATACCTGTAGAATTCCTCACAAAATTTCTCTTAAGCGTAAATCCCGGTGTTCATCTCTTGTATTTTCCTTTCTCTCAGCATTAACAGAATTTTCCATCATGAAAAACTACACTTTTTCTTAAAAGTGTTCATTTTGGTCACAAGACACTACATAAAACTGATTTAATGAAGCAAGAAACAGCTCACTTTGGGAGATACTCTTTGGAACTACTAAACACTAGCTTTGATCTACCTCCCTGAGTTTGCTTTTCCTCAGCTTTATGTGTTAGGGGAAGGTAGGCTGTGCCAGGGAAAGGACACACTATACAGCTCAGGAAAGCAGAGCAAACTTGTTGTTAGAACTGAAAGCGCTAATGATGCTTTGGGAGGCTGCATGCTACAAAAATACCTCAATCATCCCAAGTAAGACTTGGAACAACATTTATACAACATTAACTCTGGGGAAAAGCAGGAGGCTTGGGCATGTGAACAATGCTGCCTCTATTAGAAGTAAAGCTAAAATGAGATGGAAATCATAGTTGCTTTCATTCCCTTCGCCTGGAGGAGGGGGAGAGAGAGAGAGAGAGAGAGAGAGAGAGAGAGAGAGAGAGAGAGAGAGAGAGAGAGAGAGAGAGAGAGAGAGAGAGAGAGAGAGAGAGAGAGAGAGAGAGAGAGAGAGAGAGAGAGAGAGAGAGAGAGAGAGAGAGAGAGAGAGAGAGAGAGAGAGAACACCTGTCAAGGAAGAAAGCTGAATCAAATAGTGTGAACGTATGTCAAGAATGTTGTCTGCATATGCATGCGTTTATGTGGGCATGTGTATGTACACGCTGAACTCTGCTAGGGATGACTCTCTCTGTCTTCACAGTTCTGTACCAGCTTGAAGACAGAAAATGTTTAATCACTTCCATAAAAATGCCCAAATTATAAAAACATGCATGAAAAAGGCAGCATCGAGAAGTAACACACCAGATATGTTATAGATGACCACAAACGTCATTCACAAAACAAGCAAGTGGCCTAGCCAGGGATTTCCAAAGCTTTTTTGGGGGGAGATGTTAACTCCCATTCAGTGAGCTTCAAAATTGATGAGGAAAATGACAAGTTAGTTTGTAGACCCATTCTACTGATTCATAAGGACTGTTTCTTGAACTGAATCTGCATATGCTGATAGGCAGCAACAGATATGCAAACAATGACTGAGCATTCAGACCTCTCCACAGAGAAGAAATAGTCCCACAGTCTGTGGAAGAGGCCGGCTCAGCTCTCCCAACCTGGCCTGTCTGGCCCAGGCTTTGAAAAATATTTCCACATTAGACTCCCCAGACCTACCTCCCTTTCAGTGTTTTTAGAGGGCGACAGAGGTTGTCCAGCAGGAAATACTGGAATAGGTTTTGTAAGATTTCCATTTCCCCATCACTGTCTGGGACAGTATTTATTGGAACTAGCATGAGTGGTTACTGAGTTCCTCTAAAAAGGCTTTGGGGCCTTAGATTGTCAGTCAGTTTAGCTTGAGCTACATTTGGAGCAAGTTGAAAAGGGTGGAGGCTACATAAATTCCAGAATATTTTTAAGTGGCAAAAATAGAGGTAGTTTATTAAGAAAGAGAAATATGGCATCAGCAAGTTAGTAAAAAAACCCTTCTCTTGTACTCCTAAAGAGCTCAGCGTCGGGCTGGGGACACAGAGAGTGGGACAGTTCTTGTCTAGCATGTGTGAGGCCCTGGCCTTTCCTCCTTGGAGCCACAGGAAGCAAAACAAAAAATCCAAACAAATGAATAAAATAACAATGACTGACCACAACTCAGGTTC